ATGGGATCTTAAGGTTCATGTCGTGGGCCTTTATAGACTATATCTGACTCAACTTGCTCAAGCATAAAACACATGAAACTCATGATTTGTATATAAGAACACTAAATTGATATTATAAAAAAATGAAATGCTTGCAAACCTGAAAATTTTAAATCAGGGAAAGTGATACAAGGTAGATGTCTTAGCCAGTAAGGTGTACTACATGGATATACATATCTTGACTTAGGCAAATATGATATAAGTTATAAATATGTAGCTATTTCTTATTTCCCAGTGTTTCCCTGGATATACCTGTAATTTCTGGGAATTACCAGTATTTCCCACCTCTTGGGAAATACGAGTATTTCCCACTTTTTTGCCAACCCTGTTGTGCAGGTGATGAAGGTGTATTGTTGCATTAGTAAGGGAAGTTGACGATAGAAAAGTTAGTCATCACGTTCATCACAGAGCTTGGTTGTTAGAATACCATTAACGACTTTTTCAAGTAAAACATCCAAATATGAAACAGTTGTGTCAGACTCTGTGGTATCTTTTATCTCAAGTTCACCAGGATATACCGTATCGACATAAGAATGGAAATTACTAATGTTAATTGACAATACGTCGTCGATATTCCTAAATGTCGACATATGATTTATAACCTGAATTCTTCAGACCACTTCGTTAATTCTTTAAGATTAATAGGATATTTTTACTAAAATCTTCTGTGAGGTTTTAAGCAATAAACTAAACTTAATTATAAAACTACAGTGTAATACAGTGTAATAAAAAATTTGGATATAAAATTCTTTTTAAATCAGTTCGTGATGTATATATCTTTTTTATATACCTAGAACTTATCGAGTATGGAACATGATTATTATAACCGTTAAGTTACATCAGACAAACTAACGTGATAAAAACTGTCGAAAGTACTTTTAATGATCAAAAAGAAAATGATGTAAGGCAAGAAATTAATTACAGTTATTTTTTTTTTCTCATCAGTTTTCTTGTACGTTAGGCATTGGTCTGTCTAGAGCTTCTTTAACTTTTTAATTTACCGAGAAAATCTGAGAGAAAAAATGGTTTCATTAAGACATGGAATCTTCACAATAATTTAATTGTTTTCTCTTATATCAAAAATGAAAAAAAAAGAAAGTAAGTATTAATAGTAGTTGCAAGTTTAAAAGTCGTATTCTTGTCGTTTGTCTTTGTAGGGTTATCATGTGTCTAATTAGAAACAAATATCTAACTTTTGATGGTTATCTGGCTATACGGTGAAAAGAGAAATGTCGAAATACAATAAATCTGCGATGCATCATTATTTGTACTTTTATACGAGGACGGTTCAATAAATAATGTCCTCGGTGCTCGGAAAGAAGCAAAAGACATTTTTCAATGATTTAGTCTTAATGATTTAAGTTAAATATTTCTATATAAAAGAAAATGGTAAAATATTTTTATCTAATTTTTGATTGTTTTTAGATCTCATTTTTTGAGTATGCCCTTCGTATACTGGAATATGGTAGATCCTGTGATTACCTGGACCTGTTTCTTCTTTCTGAAAGGTGTTTTTCAAGTTTGGAAAATGAACCATGTGAAAGGGTGACAGATCTGGCGAATATTGTTGGTGTGACAAAACAATAACTTTCTGTTTATCACCAAAACACCTTTACTCTTCAGAGACTGTGGGTTTGGACGCTGTCATGAAGAAATTTAATGTAGTAGATTCCTGATTCTGATTCTTTAATCTCATAAACCTTTCGATGTTTCTTAAAAAAATTTGCAATCTAGGCGCCCCCCATGAATTAAAAATCCTCCCTGAATAAGAATTTGATTAAGAAGACCACTAATATTTAAAAAAATGGCATATAAATATGTCTTTGTGCTCTTGCAATTCTTTGCTCTTTTAAGACCTTTGCTGTTTTTGTCAAGTGCATCTTATTGTAAATTTGTTTTGAGGGTTAAAAACAATGGATTCATGTTTCATTATCTCTCTGAATTTCAGACAAACGTAGATAACTACAATTTCTGATTTTTAAAAATAATTGTTCAGATATTCTGAAACGCTGTCGTTTTCACTCATTTTTAAAAAATAGGGTGACCATTGAGTACTAAGCTTTTTTACTGTCAAATGTTTCTTTAGAATAGTGTAAACTACCCCCAAATTGATGCCTATCAAATTTGTGTTTTAAAGTCAACCGAACATCATAAGTGATAATTTGTTAAATTTTGGCAAACAGAACATTGGTTGTTGTAAATCCTTGTCTCCAAGGACGGTACCCATTGCTGATACCCATTATATCATTATTTTCATTTAAATCCACCTGCTCATGTGTCTATAAAACATATATTTGTTGCTGTAAAGTTCACAAATCTCAGTGAATATTTCTTTGGGATTCTTTTCAAGTTTCACGACAGCTTTAATGAAGCGTTCAATTTCACCCTACATTTAGTTTACTGATTCTTGAACATTCATTTTTAATGCAGTGTCTCGAATAGCCTTTGTTTTTTAGCTTCTCATCATGAAAATATATATTGAAAAGTGGTCACATAAACTGATATCAATTTATTAAAGATTCAACCATGAGAGAAAGTCAAGCTTTATACCATATGATATCTGTGTTGAATGTCATACAGTTCAGGACATTATTTATTGAACAGCCCTTGTATTCTCTTTAGTACCTATTATATTGAAGGTCTATTAACCAGTACGTACGTTTATAAGAATTTTAACAAGATATTAAAATGAATGAATCAGTATTACAAAAGTAGGTTCTAACTCCTATGGTTATGCAGTTAAGTTGGTTAACAGAAGTTTTAACAGAAAAATGTGTAAGGAGATCACGCTTTCTAATTAAAAAGGAAATTTTCAGACTAGCATTGGTCATACATTTTAAGTTGGTTAAACAAATGTATTAAGAGTTTAAAATTTGTAGTGATAACATATTAACAATTCAAAAATGGATATTTTAAAGAAAATCATTATAAAGAATCATGAAATGATTTAATAAGCGTCATAAATGGATTAAAATATTGAATGTTTCAACTATTGTTGAATTTATTTTCGTTATATGCAGCCTTGAACATGCACGTTTACTGAGAATAATTCTTTCTTGGTAATTTTTTATTTTGAATTTCTTGCATCAAAATGAAAATATATATATATATATTAATAGTAATATTTACATTTTAAATGGTTCTATATCTGCTTTTTTGCAATTGCTCTTATACACTTAACTTTTCACATATGCGATCCAAAAAAGTAACGTCGTCTTTCTTTTAAAAACGTTATATACAAAATTTAACACACTAATATCTCTTTCTTTTTTAATCTTTTGCCTTTCAATGAAATATAAGGCGATAAAGAAAAAATATTCGAGCTCAAAAAATACAAAATCAGGAGCAGAGCAGACATGGACCTTTAATTAACATCAGAGGTGGGATCAGGTGCCTTGGAGGAGTGAACATTCCCTGTCGACCGGTCACACCCGCCGTGTGCTCCTTGTCATAATCCTGAACTAGCGGAAAATTCGTGGAAAAATCATTCTTTTATAAAGAACGCTTTTTAAATTATCAGTATAAATACATACGTACATTGTAGGTTTAAATTGTCTATCGCCTCACGATAAGAATGTTTCCGACGTCGTTATGACGTTGATTTTTGGCAAATTTTCAGTTCATCCGCATTTCTTTTACCATTCACCTGCTTTTTAAATTTTTTTTTAACATCTTTATTTAGATTTTTTTAATGCGATTTGTTTCAGGTTGTAGCATTTAAATCATTCTTATTTTGTTTACATGTTATTTGTAAAAACATTTCATTTTGAGAGAAACAGATATGTCGATGAAAACGAGAAAACTTCGCTACATTCATGCGGCGTGGCAATAGACGAGACCAAACAATGTCTCAAGTTCAATATTTTACAAAGTGTTACATGTATTTGTATATTATTTTAGGTAATATCGTATTCGGAGAAAGAAAAATTTCGATTATCTAACATTTTAAAGCAGTTGGATTAACTCTCATAGCATATGTGATGACTTTAACTTTTCAATATCACCTGCATACGGGGTTAATCTCTCTCAGCTGATTCGATTTGCAATAGCAAGCTTCACGTATGAACAAATTCTAAAACGGGGTAATTTATCAGCAAACAACTTGATAAAATAGAAATATCAGCCGTCTCGTTTAGAATAAAAATTTCTTAATTTGTATAGTCGATGCAATGACTTGTTCGCAAATACAATATATTCATGAGTCAAGTGCTGACTAAGGTTGTTTATACTCATTGTTAGGCTATTATCTACACACTGAACAGAGCAAGAGTATGAACAATTTCTCAAACGAGGTAAATTATTGACAAACAAGTTGATGAGACAAGAATATCAGCAGTCTCGTTTAAAGTCATCATTTTGTAAGTTCTATTGTCGATGCAATAACTTTGTCAGCAAATACAATTTATAATTGAGTCAAATGCTGACTGACGTTTTTAATACGTATTGTTAGTCCATTATTTATACACTGAATTGACGACAGATTTCCCGTTATTTCCCCATCATATCAAAGGTGCTCACGGCGGGTGTGACCGTCACCGGTCGGCAGGTGATGCTCATTCCTCCATGGCACCCACCTATGATGTTATGGAGGTCCATGTTTGCTCTGTTCCTATTTTGTGTTATTTTATGGACTTTGATATTGAATACTGTTTGTTATCTCCATATCCTTCATCTGCCACACTGTCATACAAATTGACATAAACCTTTTTAAAATGAGTAGCAATAGCCTTTGTCTATCGGAATTGCAATAGACAAACATACACAAATAAAACACATATAAATTTTTATTTGATATTTTATATGTCATTTTAAGCTTTTATCATTTTTTTACAAAACAATTTTCTCACAACTATTCATCTTTTTTTAGCTTAACATATCTAATAAGTTAATGAGAGAGAGAGAGAGAGAGAGAGAGAGAAAACACTTTTTCTATATATATTGTAAGGTATTGGTACAAAAGGGTTTGTCATTGTTTTATTTTTCTGATAGAAATATAAGTATATAGGCATATACATTGTATAAATTTTTGCTTGAAACAAGAAAAAAAAATTATTTTCGTTTTCTGTAGTCGTTCTGATCCAAGTTCAGACTTCATTGAAGTCTTAAACATGCGTTGTTCCAAGTATTTCTTGTCATAAGCAAAAGCCATGAGTAATACCTAGAGAATAATGGAGAAGTTTTGCTATTATCAAACTTTTGTTAATTCATAATAAAAAGGTTAAATCAATTCTAATTCAAAATTTTAAAAAGTATAATTTTTTCCCAAGTTTTATTAATGAAAAACTATAGCTATTTTATTTTCAAATATCAAGATGGAAAGTGATAACTTTATTTTCTGTAGTTAAACTGTAACATCATTAAATCAATTTTCCTATGTTTAAAAGGCTCCTTACAAAATTGTTTTCTGACATAAGAATCTGAGGTTCGTTCGTCGGCTCGTTTGCTGTGCTGGTGTTCACAGGCTCTCACACAATCCTGATATCTGTCAATCATGGTTATCAAATAGTTTCCTACAGGTTCCAGTCGACTGTATCTCTCAGAAGCAGCAATTAAAGACTGAACGAAGGCTGCAAACGACATATCTGTAATAAATAAATAAATAAATAAATGACAGAAATTAACAGAACGTAGGTATATTCGTAAATTTATGATAGTAAATTGTTTTTTTTAAATTTTTACCTAGAAAAGTGTATAAAAAAATACTAATATGACTTTCTGTGGATAGAAATATAACACTTAAGAAGACCATATATTGCAATTGAAATGTATTTTTAAAAACATGAAGGTAGAGTAGGCAATAATTAAAAGTAAATGTATATGGTTGTTTAAAAAGATAAGTCTTAAGGTAACATTGCGTAAAAACCTTTGAAAAATATTTGTTAAGATTCTACCCTTTTCAAGACAATTTAGGCCTGAAACAAACAAGAATGTCATAAAATGCCACAAAACGGACATGATTCTCGCTTATTACTAACATCAGAAATTACAGTCTTCCGGCGATATATGCTATAAAATCATTGAAAGCTACATTAGACGTTATTATCCCTCAAGTTTCCTTGTGTGTGAAAACCGATTATGTGTCTTTACGATTTTTAAAATGCCTAATTTGTCTGGCCAGTCATTCTTAAATGCCCTAAGAAAGATAGAGCTCTTTAAAACGACGAAGGACATCAACCAATATTTGGTAAATTAGACAAGCTCCGACTTATATTGCCGGCTTTGAGAAAGCTCAAATAAAAAATGCTGAAAGGATTCTACGCTTCTTTTAAATCTGAACATTGCTTCTAAACACTAGATTAGATAGAATCGGTGTTGCACTTTTGAAGGACATGTCAACACCAATCAGTATTTTTTCACATCAAAAATGTCAAGATAGATGTATTTGTATATATTTCAAAGTCTGATTTATAAAAACAAAACAAATAAGCTTCTCTATTATCACAATTGTCTGATACTTCTGCTTTACAATAATATCGCATTATTTCGCATTATTTATTTTAAAGCGATTATTTTATTGGATTATAATGTCTTATTGTTATAGTTGCATAAGAAATCTTTCATATTTTTAAAACAAAATATGTACATATATAAAAATTGAAAATGTTCTTCTAAACAACGTATCTAGGTCGTATTTTAGCTGCCCTGTTCATACTCTGAGTACATGTATTGTCTTTGTTTTTATGATAATAATAATAATCATAATAATAATAATAATAATAATAATAATAATAATAATAATAATATAACTAAGGTATCTTCTGTCTAAGTGATCAATACATAGCGTTTATGGCGGATCTGAGTGTTCAAAAGGGAATGTCAACTCCTTTATAAGGCACCTGATTCAAAATCTATTATTTACGTGTTTATGCCCTTTTCATCGATTTGTATTGTTTGAAGTTTTCATGATCTTGATAACTGTTGTTATTTTAACCTTTTTCATTATTCTTCAGATTTCTCATGTCAGTCAAGATTTAGGTATATTTTTTAAAATCGATATTTCATTTATTTATAATTTGAATTTCTGTTAAATTTTCATTTAATATATTCCATGTTGATAAGAAATACACTGTACATATGGCAATAATTGAAGAATTGAACAAATAAACATTCAACCAAAATAAGGTAAAACGAACTTTAACATACCATCTTTTCCTATTCGTTTTGACATTCGATGCCATAGTTGCTTAAGTCGACCTAAGTTAGGAGTGGATGATTCACATCTTGTTTCACATAGAATAGTCGTGGCAGGTTGGGGTAACACTGTGGCCACCACTAAAGAGAATATGCTGAAGGCATACACTAAACCAAGACTTTTTTGACACATCACCTGAAAGAAAATATTTCATAATATTATTATCATCCCATGGGTACCAATTGCACCCATTATTAACAGACCTATTTTTGTGTTCATATGAAGCAGAATTTGTGCAAAATCTTATTTGTGAAAAGAAGAAAACACTTGCTGTGGCCTTCAACTTGAAATTAAGATATATCGACGGCGTATTGTCAATTAAAAATGGTAATTTCCATTCTTATGTCGATACGATATATCCTGGTGAGCTTGAGATAAAAGATACCATAGAGTCTGACACATCTGTTTCATATTTGGATATTTTACTTGAAAAAGACGTTAATGGTAATCTTACAACCAAGCTCTATGATAAACGTGATGACTTTGACTTTTCTATCGTCCCTTTGTTATGCAGCAATATACCTTCATCACCTGCATACGGAGTTGATTCGATACTCAAGGGCATGCTTTACGTATGAGCAATTTCTAAAACGAGGTAAATTATTGTTAAACAAGTTGATGAAACAAAAATATCAACATTCTCATTTAAAGTCATCACTTCGTAAGGTCTATGGTCGATTGAATGACCTTGTCAGCAAATACAATTTTTTCATTGAGTCAAATGCTGACAGACGTTTTTTCATGCTAATTGTTAGTCCATTATTTATAACTGATCATGAATTGAGGACGATTTTTCCGTTATTTCCCGATCGTGACAAGGAGCACAAGGCGGGTGTGACCGGTCGGCAGGGGATGTTCACTCCTCCACGGCACCTGATCCTATGTCTGATGTTTCGGAGGTCTGTGTTTGCTCTGCTCCTATTTTGTATTGTTTTATGGACTTTTGATCTTGATTACTGTTCGATATATCCATGTGTTTCGTTATTTTAAGGCGGTTAAGTATTGAAAAATTGGTTCAAGCTGAGTACATCTCCCTTTTAATTGTAAAATCATTAACAGTTTTTGAGCAAAGCATTCATATCGTGGTTATTTTTGCCACCTCTAGTTAGATTAATTTTAGGGTTACTCTAAGGCAACTTGGTACTAAAACTGTATATAAACTAGTAAAATTTTCATAGTAACTGTAGTATGTGGTAACGAAATTTTGTGATTTTACAGTAGAGTTATAAGAAGATGAATATTTCAGTTTTCTCTAAGTTAACATGTGTTATTATGCTTTGATAATTAGTATTTATTTCAACAGAGCCCTTCTCTAAGCATAAAATTAGGCTTACTACTTCTCTGTTGTGAAGAAAATTCCCAATATGACGCTTAGCCCTCTAATTGAATTCAATGAGCTAAACCTAATTTACCATTTATGCTCGTCTACAATATATTATCAAGAGTATACGCCATCGCAATTTAGATAATTGTTAAGTTTCAACATCTGATTACCATTGGACTCTCACATCAAAACTAAGAAATAAGATAAAATCCCCGATGAAGATTTATGACATAACTAGCCTAAAAGGTTTAACCAAAACCCCTGCTATTTAACTGTGCTAATGCTGACTGATAATGAGAAATAATCTGCTATTGGGCAAAGAAAATTTTATACATTTCTTTTCACTTCTTCAACAAATATCAACTAGATTTTTTTTAAAAATATACATGTTTTTCCATAAATGAAAGAAACTAAAACCACAGTGATGATAATTAAAACCAAAAAAAAAGTTTGAAAATGAGTTTTTCTTCGTCACGGCACTAAGTCAATAAAGATTTGGCTCCGTCATTGGAAAGTCTGTTGTTGGCTCTTCTTGTTAGATGAAATATATGGAGATAAAGAACAGTATTCTAGATCGAAAGTCCAAAAAACATTACCAAATATATAGGAGCACAGCAAACACCTACCTCCAAAACATCAGAGGCGGGAGCAGGTGTCATAGAGGAGTAAGCATCCCCTGCCGACCAGTCACACCCGCCGTGTGCTTCTCGTCAATATAAATGGACTTTTCAGCTTTATCGAAATTTGTTTTCTTCATCCTCTTCACGGACTCTCCATCTTATTTAATAGAAGATCAAATGTCTACTTTGTAAAATTTAATCAGAATATTTTGGAGACCAGGTTTTGTAGACATTATTTTTAACTCATATGGTTCCCTGGATAAAAATAAAACTCCCTTCACATCTACTGGACGGCATCAATTAAGCTTGTAAAGATGAATTGACTACTACTTAACAATTAGGAGGAGTTTGAGGAAGTGTGATAGACGGATGGACCAGGATAAAAAAAATAAAACTCTCGTAAGAAAGAGTAATGCAGAAATAATTAGAGGATGAAGTTAATAATTAGAAAAATATCTTTGTAATAATAAAATGTTATTTTTATAACATTTTGGTGTATTGCATTCAAAAAATATTATCTAAAAAGCTAAATTTACTTCTATTTTAATTCTCTTTTAAATATGAAACGAGACTTTTTCTGCTGAATAAGCTTGTCATTAGAACTCTTCTACTCATTAAGTAGATTAAGAGCCAATTATATGTCAAGATATGCACACTCTTTATTGATGACCTGCTGTTTTTGTTCGATACTAATTTTTTTAGCTCGACAGCTGACTTAAGATATCAAAATAGAAATCAAATACAAGAAATGAAAAAATTGGATACTGTTGGATATCAACGGACATCTTGGTCTCTCAGTCAACTGACAAAATTTGGTTTCATAAATATATTCCAAATCTGGATTCTTTGACGTTTTGCTTCAGATAAGACATCAAGGTTATAAAAGCAGGTCAGGTATAGTACATCATCCTCGTGTTCGATCAATAAAATGGGAATGGTTCACATCTTACACTTGTCTGAATGATAATTCTGCCAAGTAAACACCTTCACGTGCATCTCTACTGATTTTCTAGTAAATAGCATTATTGTCATTTCACTGAAAACTTTTGAGGCCAGAATGAAAAGGGTGTTGATAACAAACAATGATCGATTAAAAATATTTAATTGGAGTACATTATTCTTACGCGTCTTGACAATTTCAAATTTATAAAATTTATATAAAATTAAGGGCAGTAACGGATGATTTTGTTCCTTAATTTTGAACATACCAAAACCTTATTAAATTTTTTTTAAGTAGTTGAGAATTAACATTTTTTGGAAGCAGTAAAAATAGGGATGATGACTGACAATAAAAAATACATAAACATGAAAAATTATAGTTACTTATATTCCCTATACTTCTAGATAACATCTCTATAGTTTGAATGAAGTCTGAAGACATGAACAACATTCATATGAGAAGATAACGAATAGTAATCAAGCTCAGAAACCCATTAAAATAATACAAATTAGGAGCAGAGAAAATAAGGAGCTCCGAAAACGCCAGAGATTAGATCAGATGCCATGGAGAAGAAAACATCCAGTGTCGACTTTGTAACAAATTCCGTTGGCTTCTGGTCGTGTTTGAGCACACGAAGAGATCCATTGATAATTATTGTGCAAATAATGGCTTAACAATGAGTATAAAACCGTTCACTTCAGCGACAAACTGTGTGCAATATAATAAAAGTCTACCACAGAAACAGATAGCCGGTTATTATTGAGCTACTTAATTCTTGCACAGGCAGGAAAAGAAATGTTTTGCGACCAAGTTTTAGCTAATTAAAATCACAAGGAAAAATATATGAGCATTGTTTAGGAAATATTTTCAGCTTGATTATGGTACAAATAACAATATCATTGGATAATTAAAGATTTCTGGAAAATGCCAAAACACGAAACGTAAAAAGAACGAAAGACGTAACTTTCCAGTGCCGATTGTTCTGTATAATTATATCCTGGAGATATAGATTGAAGAGAATTAACACTCATACTTTGCCTAACAATGGCTCATTCTTTATAAAGAGCAAATAAAACCCGAGAATGTGCCTTTAAGAAGTTTTTGTCGAGTACGTTGAGCTTGCACTATAAGTTGAAAATTAGAATACAACCCAGACGAAGGAATAATTGTATTATTTTGTACTCTAAAAATAAGATGAAGAGGCAATCTGTGATGAAACTTCTATTTTGGAGGGTTTATATTTTGAAAAAAAAAAGTGCGTAATAACTGATTTCGAGTAATTGTATGACCTTTCCTTTTTCTTCCATTTTTTTTTTACCACAAAAGTAAATTTTTATTCTTTTAGCAAACAAAAAAAAAAGATATGCGATGAATACGTGTTATTATAAGAAAAATACTATAAAAGTTTAAGGATAACTGCAAGTGTCTTGGATTGTTAGATTTTAATGTCGTTTTTAAGACTGAAATATATTTAAAGTGTTCTTAAATAAGCTAGGTTGTGTGACCATTTCATTTACTATTCATAGTTTTCATTTATACTTTGCAATAACGTTCTTCTACTGAATCCAATAAAGATATAGATCTGTTTTTCTGTTTTCATAATTTTTTCTAGAAAAAGTAAACGTTATGTAAACTTAAAATGTTACACTACCTTCAGCGTTGTTATTGGTGATATCATTGCGGATGTTTTAATTTCTCTCTCACATGCTTCTCCAAGTCGAAAAAGAATACTCCTACCAAATTGATGGTACGAATATCTTGGAGCATTTTATAAGGGATGGATATCAATATTTTATCACCAGAGAGCCTATATGATACTCTTTTTTTCATAAAATGCAAATTAAACGGGGAGGATCGGGATTTCCCCCAACCGCCATTAATTGCTCTCCGAGACAATCGTGCAGGGCAAACGCAGAGGGATTGTGTGATGATCAACAGCTTACTAATTTTCTTAATTACTTGATCATATAACTATTTAATTTGTCATTAGGTCTTCGCGATTTTTGGGTAATGCTCTCTCCTACAAATTGCTAGGAGACAAAGGGAGGCTCAGTCGACTGCGTCATTGACATCCAATGTTGAAGAATATGTTAGTCACTCTTGGTGTTAGCAATGTTAAAGGATTATTTCATCACCTACACTGCATTTAAGCAGGTGATTTCTTACTGAAAATGAAAGACATGAGACCCTTAATTAATATAATATACTGTGTCTAGAAAAAGGATGCGTTTATGGAGCTTATCATTTGGTG